ACTAATTAAAGGAGAATGTCACGGAGAGGGCGGTGACCTGAACAACCATTCACCTCCCACACAGCACAATCTGGAGGTTCCATTTTGCTTTTCATAATATGCCAGGGGTAGAAAGAATCTAGATCTGAAAATTTTCAGACTTCAGTTTTCAAACTTCTAGTCATATAATTGTGAAACTTTTTGGTCAAACAAAAAGTTTTATTTGTGGAAAATCATTATCAAGAATTAGGCACATGAAGATTTTTAATTCTCACAATAGTCTCAGTACTGTTATGACCCCCATTTTCCAGATAAGGAAATTGAGTTGCACAAAAGAATCAGTACCTTTCCCAAGGTCACAGTTTTGTTTTGTTTTTTAAGACAGCTCTGCTGCCAGACTGGAATGCAGTGGCACAATCTCAGCTCACTACAACCTCTGCCTCCTGGGTTCAAATGATTCTTCTGCCTCAGACTCCTGAGTAGCTGGGACTACAGGGGAGCACCACCACACTCGGTTAATTTTTTGTATTTTAGTAGAGACAGAGTTTCACCATGTTGACCAGGATGGCCTCAATCTCCTGACCTTGTGATCTGCCATCCTTGGCCTCCCACAGTGCTGGGATTACATGCATGAGCCACCATGCCTGGCCCAGGTCACACAATTTTTAAGTGGTGAAGGAATTTAAATCTGGATCTGATAAAGTCCAGAACATGGCTTTGTATCACTGAGCTGTAGGAGGAAGCCCATTAGATAAAACTGTAAGTTGGGCTAGGCACCGTGGCTTATGTCTGTAATTCCAGCACTTTGGGAGGTCAAGGCAGGATGATCACTTGAACCCAGGAATTCGAGGGTGCAGTGAGCCGCAATTGCACCACTGCATTCCAGCCTGGGCCACAGAGCAAAGCCCCATCTCTAAAAAATAAAAATAAATCAGAAGATAAAAAGTAAAATTATGAGTTGAGCTGGCTTGGCTTGGGTTTGGGTGTGTTGGGCTGGAAGAGTCCAGCTCACTGAGACTTTCCTTTGTGCCATGTATGGCCCTTGGAAACCTTAATAGCGCCAAAGCAGTTTAAAAAAACTGGAAACAAATGTCCTTCGATAGAGGAATTTATCACACCTTCTGGTATGTTCATTCAATGGAATACTTAATACTCAGTGATAAAAAGATAAAATTTCAAAATATGCTGAATGAAAAAGACAAAAATGAGAGCATACTGTGTAACTGCTTTTATATAAGACTCTAGAAAATGCAAACTAATCAATAGTGACAGTATGCAGATGGCTGGTTACTTGGGGGTAAGGAGAGGGTGGGAGGGATTACCAAGAAGTGCCAGGAAACTTTTTAGGTGATTAATATGGTCACTATCTTGATTGTGGTGATGGTTTCATAAGTCTCTCCCTCTCTTTGTGTGTGTGATATATGTATCTTCGTTATACACTTTATCCTTTCAGTAGGAGATAGCAAAAAAAAAAAGTATACACTTTAAATATGTGCAGTTTATTGAATGAAATTATACCTCAAAATAGCAGTTAAAAAAAACTTCAGCTGGGTGCAGTGGCTCATGCCTATAATCCTAATACTTTGGGAGGCTGAGGCAGGCAGACAGATCACTTGAGCCCAGGAGTTCGGGACCAGCCTGGGAACTTAGTGAAACCTCGTCTCTACAAAAAAAATACAAAAATTAGTCGGGCATGGTGGTGTGTGCCTGTGGTCCCAGCTATTTGGGAGGCTAAGGTGGGAGGATTGCTTGAGCCTGGGAGGCAGAACTAGCAGTGAGCCAAGATTGTGCCACTGAACTCCAGCCTGAGTGACAGAGAACCTGTCTCAGAAAAACAACAACACACACACACACACACACCACTTCAAAATTCAAAAGACTTGCTCAAGCTCACTCAGCACGCTGATGGGGAGTCAGGCCAGACCAGAGCCCCCCTGTGGCTCACACCACTGTGAGGAAGGACGCTTCCCCCAGATATAGCCCCCAGGTTTCACCCTGTACTCAGGGCCAGGGTAGTTTCTCTCCAGTCATGGTAATGTGGGTACTAGACAAGCCAAGGCTCTGGCCACCAGGCGAATGGGTAGGTCAACAAGGCAAAGTTGGTGGGAGCTTCACCCCATCAGGCACAGAAACAGGGCTGGTTACTGGGAACACCCTAGGGGAGGCTGTACTCACAACTAGGGATCTTTGACCTGCTAGAAGAATTAGAAGAGACAATCTGGAAAATTATCTGGGCCCAATCTACCATGTGTGAGGGTCTGTCCTAGTCCACTATATTATGGAGACTAGGTAAGGATGGAATGAGATAAATGCAAGGGCATGACACTCTAAACAGGCATCCCCCAAATGGTAGCCATTACTCATCTATCAATTATTCCCTAAGTGCTTGCTCTGAGAGCAGAGGGAACAGATGCTTGGGCTGATCCTCGAGGCCAGGAAAGATACGTGGACAGAAAGCTTCACCACAGCACTGAAGTTTGCAAGATAAATGCTTTGAGGGCCAAGAGGAGAAATAAATTACTTCCAGCTGTGGAGAGGTTTCATGGAGGCTGTGGTATGTCAGGGAGGGAAAGGAATTTGGACATGGAGACAAGGGAGGCTGGTGGAGATCATTCTACTCACAAGGGCAGCATGAACAAAAGCAAGACACCTGAGGCTGGCTGGCTGCAGTGAGGAGTGGGAAAGCCTGGAAGTGTAGGCTGGGGCCAAGTGCACGGGGAAGCCCCAGAGAAAAATGTGGACACATCTGCTCCCCACCCTGAGCTCCGCTCTGTGATCTCATTCATTCTGTGGACAGCCAGCTGGGCTGCTGGAAGGCGGAGGAGCTTCTCCAATGCTCTGTGGCCTTGGAAGAACAGAGCCAAGTGCCTCAGCTGGAAACTCGGATTTCTGCTGGGGGTGGTGATGCAGAGAGGACTCAAAGGAAATGAATCCCTCTAAGAAGCACTCGCCCTAACAGGCACCAGTGTCTCAACTCTTGGGCGTTCCCAATGGGCCAGCCAGTCTGCACCAGGCCTCCCAGGGAAGTTGAAAGTGGAAAAAATCCTCAAGTTTGTTCTCTTAGAGCCCACAGAAACTTTTTTGAAAGAAATGGTCTTAAACTTCTCTGTGGATGGACAAGTCCACAAGACATTGCCATCTGGTGGCCAATAAATGCATTTAGTTTGTAGGCTGGGAAGGAGTCCCTGTACCCCTGAGGGACCACAAAGTCAGAAATGGCCCCAAGATTTGTTTAGTACTTTCATAATGGGACGAAAATTATGCTAGCAACCAGTTTAGTGTTAAAAAAGTGTTATTTCTGGCGACCAAGTTCCCTGAGGTGCAGGCATTATACATTGTGCAGAGGAGGAAACTGCCAGTGAGACAGATGCAGTGGCTGGGTCCATGTCCGGGCTGGTCAAGTGCAGAGCCAGGTCTTATCCCAGTCTTCAGCAGCCCTGGGTCCCCAGTAAGCGCCCAATAAATGGTTAAAGTGGTGATTCTCAGCATGTGATCCCCAAGAGCCTTTCAGAAGCCACATGAGGTTGAAAATGTCTGTAAGATGCCTTTTCCTCCTTAACAATTATATGGTGACATTTTCCAGAGTCTAAATGAATGCGGTGACTTCATCTAGTCCCCATGGCGAATGGGATGTGTGCTTGGGTATTTTTCTTTTCTAATGTAGTATAACCCACACAACCAAAACTGTTTGAGATCCTCAAGAATTTTTTAATTTTTAAAAAATTTTTTCTTTTTTTTGTGTGATGGAGTTTTGCTCTGTCGACCAGGTTGGTGTGAAGTGGTGTGATCTCAGCTTACTGCAACCTCCACTCCTACCCCCCACCCCTGCCTCATTTAAGTGATTCTCCTGCCTCCTCCTCCCTCAGCTGGGATTACAGGCACATGCCACCAGGCCCAGCTAATTTTTGTATTTTTAGTGGAGATGGGGTTTCATCATGTTGGCCAGGCTGGTCCCGAACTCTTGACCTTAGGTGATCCACTGCCTTGGCCTCCCAAAGTGCTAGGATTACAGGCGTGAGCCAGCACGTCCAGATGAGATCCTCAATAATTTTTTTTTTGAGACAGAGTCTTACACTGTTGCCCAGGCTGAAGTGCAGTGGCACAATCTTGGCTCACTGCAACCTCTGCCTCTCGGGTTCAAGTGATTCTCCTGCCTCAGCCTCCCGAGTATCTGGGATTACAGGCGCCCGCCACCACGTCCAGCTAATTTTTTGTATTTTTAGTTGAGACAGGGTTTCACTATGTTGGCCAGGCTTGTCTCAAACTCTTGACCTCATGATCCGCCCACCTTGGCCTCCCAAAGTGCTGGGATTATAGGTGTGAGCCACCACACCTGGCCTGATCCTCAATAACTTTTAAGAGTATATGAGATCTACTTGGCTGGTCGCAGTCACTCACGCTTACGCTTATGATCCCACCTTGGCCTCCCAAAGTGCTGGGATTATAAGCCTGGCCAACATAGTGAAACCTTATCTCTTTCTTACTGTTAGATTAGTGTTCCCTTTAAATCCGAGTGATTTTTAATTAGCAATCACTGCTCTAATTTACATGTATCACCTCATTTAATCCCCACAACCACCATTTGCAGTAGATGCGATCATCACATTTTATGTCTGTGAACACTGAGAGGGTAAGTGGCCCAGCTGGGAGGTACCAGAGCTTCAACTCTATCCCAGGAAGTTTGTCTCCACAGCCTCTTCCCACTATTCCACTGCCTTAACATTTGATAACCTTTTGTGCAATTCACTTGATACACAAAAATTTTTCAAAATATAGAGTCTGTGAAACTGGTGAAAAGAAAGGGAATCACTGATCCGGGTCAATGCCTCCACTTTACAGGTGAGGAAGAAATGAGGCCCAGAGGGGGTAAGTGATTTGCTAAAGATCACACAGCAAAGAATCAGAGTCTACAGGGTGTCTGACTCCCAGGTGGGAACTTTCAAAATTCACACCGAAGTAAACATAACCAACTACATGTGAGCATGTGAGCAAGCAACACCAAAACCAGGCAAGACAACATCTCCAACAAAAGCAGCTCGATTTTATTTCGAGGAAGCTAGAAAGGAACAGAACTGAGGGTCTCTGCAGGAAAACCATTGTTCAGCAAGACTGCCAAGTCCCAGGTCTGTCTGGAAGCCAGGGGTGGATCGGGAGCCTAGGAAAGATGGAAAGTTAGCTGGAACAAAGGCGCCATCTGCTGTGCACATAGCAATATTGCAAAGGCAATAAACGCACTAAGATAATGTAATTCCTTTTATATGACATGTCCAGGGTAGGCAAGTCCAGAGTAGCAGAAAGCAAATTAGTGGCTGCCGGGGGATGGAGAGATGGGGAGTGGGGAGTGACTGCGTAATGGATAGAGGGTGTGTTTCTGAGATGGTGAAAAAGTTTTGAAACTAGAGAGAGATGGTGGTCGTACAACATTGTGAATGTACCAAATGCCACTAAATGACAGACTTTAACCCATTTATGCCTAGGAACGCTAAACTTGTGGGAGTTAACTTATAACCTACTGCTCAAGATCATCACCAAGGTTTGATTTTTCATACACAAAAAAGTGCAACATCCAGCATAAATGGGTTAAAATAGTTAATTATAATATCTTGTGAATTTCATCTCAATAACATGAGAAAACATGTTTCCTATGAGAAAAACACATTAAGCTACATGTGGTTTACATCCAACAGATAATACTTTTTTAGTTAAAAAAAATTCATATGCCCAGGCCTGGAGTTTCTAATCCAAGATGTGTGTATTAGGACTCCCCCATGTATATAGCTAGCTCAGGAAGAGGTTTTTTCCTTCTCTCCCTCCATTCCTTCTTGTTAGGGAGCACTTTCATCAAATACAATCTTACAGAAAAGCCCGATATGACATAGGGCTGTTTGGGAGCTCTGGAGGGTCCAGAGTCCCATCCACTCACCCTCCCTACAAAACCCTAGGGGTGGAGGCATGATATAAGAAACAGTGTTCTGTAAGATGCTGGCAACTGCTGATGTTTTACTTCCCTAGAGGATAAGCCTTCATATGTGGAGAGATTGCACAGCAACCTCCAAAAGGCGGGAAAGCAGGTTGGAGGTTTTAGCCCCATTTTACAGATGGGAAGACCAAATCCCTGTAATACAAAAAGTGTCCAAGATCAGTGTGAAATGAGGACAGAGTTAGAATCCTAGATTCCAGGCCGGGCACAGTGACTCATGCCCATAATCCCACTTTGAGGGACTGAGGGGGGTGGATCACAAGGTCAGTTCAAGATCAGCCTGGCCAAGATGGTGAAACTCCATCTCTACTAAAAATACAAAAATTAGCCTGGCACAGTGGCAGGTGCCTGTAATCCCAGCTACTCCTGAGGCTGAGGCAGGAGAATCGCTTGAACCCAGGAGGCAGAGGTTGTGGTGAGCCAAGATCGTACCACCGCACTCTAGCCTGGGCAACAGAGCAAGACTGTCTCAAAAAAAAAAAAAAAAAAAAGAATCCTGGATCCCTCATTATTCATCTTGGGCTCATTCCTGCACATGGGTTCTATCTATGGATGAAAAGTGCATGACGAAAACAGATGCCTGTGACATCTTGTGACTTGCATGTGATGTCACCACATACACAGAACACTGCTGTGGCTCAGGTTCCAAATGCACACCTTTGGGAAGGAACTATCAGTCAGCTGTGGCTGCCTCCTATCTGGAGGGTCTCTGGGACCCATTCACAGGGACAATGCCACCAGTAACAGTTATAGAACTCCAATTCAGGATATCTGACTGTCCTCCTGCCTTTGCCACTCACCTGGGTGGGGCTTTGGTTGAATCACTTCCCCTCTGTTGGCCTCATTTTTCTCAATCACATTCAGGGCACTAAATCACATCAGGGATGTGGCGATCATTGTAGTTCACAAGTCAAAGACACTACAGGGGCAGTGGCAGCCAGGAGGGCCCTGCTGAGACTGTGGCTGGATCAATGAATAAGGTCTGCCTGGTTCCAGAGTGAAGAGTGCTGACACAGTGCCCCTTACTGCCTCACTGGATTACATAAAAGTGAACGGAACATCTAGCTCAGCCATGCTATTGTTTTTGTACCAGGCTGGACAGAGGGCATGCTCATGAAGCTGACAACAGTTTCAAGTAGAGAGAGTGGCACAGTCTGAATTAACTCACTTGGTCAGGGCACAAGAGAACAAGGCCCAAGGCATAAGTGTCAACTCTGATGAGACAGTCAGTTTATCAAAGCCAGAGCCATGCGTGGTGATATGTGCCTACAGTTCCATCTACTTAGAAAGCTGAGGCAGGAGGATGACTTGAGCCCAGGAGTTAAAGGCTACAGTGCACTATGATCACACCTATGAAGAGCTGCTGCCCTCCAGCCTGGGCCACAGAGTGAAACACTGTCTCAAAGAAACAAACAAATCAAGAAGCCAAAGGTGCATTGCTTAGGGTCATGTGCTATCAACTTAAACCCTGCTAACCATGAAATGCAACCCCCACATCCTGAAGAGGACTCTGGGAGACATTACACAGTGCTCTGTCCAATCACGGGGGCTGTAAGGATTCCCTGAACTTGTGATTTGCATTAGACATACATTGGTAACCACTCCAAAGAAAGTGGACAGTGGATTGAAAAGAATCCGGGGGCTCTCCTGCACCACTCAAGCTCTCAAAGGCCAAGGTGTTAGCTCTGATGAGAAGTGTGAGCAGCAGGTTTGTTCAGCAATTGCTGGAGTCTTACCCACCTGCCCTCTTTGGTCCATCCTGCGGGCTGTGGGGACCAGGTCCCTGCTACTCGAGGCCAAGGTAGGAAACAGTCTTTCCTGTTTTCTTCAGGGTTGCAAGCAGAGTGTCCATGCTGTGCTCAGATTCAATGCAGACCTTCTTGTTGGGCAGGTCAATGTCATACTTAACTCCTGCAGGAAGAGGAAATGCGGTATGGGGAAAGGAAGCAGAGACCCTCCCAGTTACAGCAAGAAAGAGTTCAGGCTCTAAATTACTACTCACAACTACCCCTTCCCTTTCCTCTAGAGCAGGGATTGGCAAACTTCTTCTGTAACGAACCAGAAAGTAAATGTTTTGGGCATTATGGGCCACATATGCACTCTGTTGTATATTCTGTGTTATTTATTTTATTTTATTTTACATTTGAGACAGAGTCTCGCTCTGTCGCCCAGGCTGCAGTGCAATGGCATGATCTCAGCTCAATGAAATCTCCACCTCCCAGGTTCAAGAGATTCTCCTGCCTGAGCCTTCCAAATAGCAGGGATTATAGCCACCCACCACTGCAACAGGCTAATTTTTGTATTTTTAGTTGAGACGAGGTTTCACCAGGTTGGCCAGGCTGCTCTAACGCCTCAGCCTCACAAAGTACTGGGATTATAGACATGAGCCACCACGCCCAGCCATTCTGTCTGTTTTTATAATTCCATTCTTGAATATACAAAAATAGGCTATGAGCAGGATTTGGCCCATAGGCTGTAGAGTGGGGAACGCTCCTGTGTGAAGCCCCCCCAGTGTTGGGCCTCACTGTGCGTGAGCTTGATCCCGGACACAGTTTCCTGCTGGAGGCAGTTGAGCTATGGGGAAGTAGGAACGGAGAGAATAAGAATAATGTCAGCCTCTATTTCTGACTACGGTGACCCTGGGTAATGGATGTGTGTGCTCTTTCGGTTCCTGCTGAGGAGTGGGTTTTATGACTCTGTTTACCAAGTTAAGTATAGCCTGAGGACCAGATGATATTCCTATACTCAGATAAAGATTTATGGCTTAGCCTGTGACATTTCTAGATTGTTATCCTTGTGACACATGTTCTGTTAACAATGATAAAGTACGTCACCTGCTTACCTTTTATGACTCGTGATTCTGTACCCCCTCTGCTGACATTTGCTTTTTGCAACTTTCTGTGCTTTTTGCAACTTTCTGTTCCCCTTATTGTATAGCTTACATAATGTGCACTGACGTCAATCCTTGTAATCTAAAGGTATATATTGAAACCCTAGACACAAATAAACTTGCTGCATAGGCATTGCCTATTCAGTCCTCCAGACCCCAGCTTTCTGTCTCTCTTTATTTCTGCGCACCCCTTTTTCCAGGCTGGGACCCTCTTGCTGGCCAAGACTCCCCGTCGCCCACACTGTAGTGTGTTCATACCTGCTCTATACTATGGCTTTCTGAGACACAGACATACTCTGTTGCCCAAGCTGGAGTGCAGTGGCATGATCTCAGCTCACTGCAACCTCCACCTCCTGGGTTTAAGTGATTTTTGTGCCTCAGCCTCCGGAGTAGCTAGAATTACAGGTGTATGCTACCACACCTGGCTAATTTTTCTATTTTTAGTAGAGTCAAGGTTTAGTCATGTTGGCCAGGCTGGTCTTGAACTCCTGACCTCAAGTGATCGGCTCGCCTTGGCCTCCCAAAGTGCTGAGCCACTGTGCCCAGCCAATTTTTTTTTAATTGCAAATGTAATATAGACACATTTTTTTTTTCCAAAAAAGCAAACATTTCTAAATATAAGTAGAAGCAGTTAGGCCCCCTACTGATCCTACCCCTAGAGATCACTGTGAAAAGTATGGCTTCTATCCAGACTGTCTCAGATAGACAAATGAAAAATAACTCCTCCAAATGGTATCACACTGTATAAACAGGTCTTGCTAATATTTTACTTTTCTTTATTAATTTTATTTTCTTTCTTTCTTCCTTTTTTTTTTTTTGAGACAGGGTCTCACTGTGTTATCCAGGCTGGAGTACAGTGGCACAATCACGAATCACTGCAACCTTGAACGCCCAGGCTCAGGTGATCCTCCTGTCTCAGCCTCCCAAGTTGCTATAACTACAGGTGCATGCCACCATGCCTGGTTAAGTTTTGTATTTTATGTAGAAACAGAGTTTTGCATATTGTCCAGGGTGGTCTTGAACTTCTGGGCTCAAGCGATTCACCTGCTTCAGCTTCTCAAAGTGCTGGGACTACAGGTGTGAGCCACTGTACCTGGCCCATTCTTTTTTTTGAGACAGAGTCTCATTCTGTCGTCCAAGTTGGAGCGCAGTGGGGTGATCTCGGCTCACTGCTGCAGCCTCTGCCTCCTGGGTTCAAGTGATTCTCTTGCCTCAGCCTCCCGAGTAGCTGGGATTATAGGTATGAGCCACCATGCCTGGCTAATTTTTGTATTTTTAGTAGAGACGGGGGTCTCACCATGTTAGCTAGGTTGGTTTCGAACTCCTGACCTCAGGTGATCCACCTGCCTTGGCCTCCCAAAGTGCTGGGATTACAGGCATGAGCCACAGCACCCGGCCCCCTTCCTTTATCAAAAGCTACAATCTTCCACAGTGTGGATGTACCACACATCTACTTAATTAATCCACTGCTAAAGGTCACTGAGGATGCTTCTAAGTTTCACCGCTATCACAATAATGTTATTGTAGTAAACATACTTGAACTTGCCTTAAAAAACTGATAAAAATATTTTTATACCATGAATTCACAGAATGGAAATCGTGGGGCAACAGATGTTTGACACATTTTTAATGTTTAATAGACAGTGCAAAATCACCCTCCTAAATGGTTATGCCAATTTAAAGCTCCCCAGCAGCCCATGGGAGGACTTAGAGTTTTATTCTGACAAAAGAGTACAGAAAGAAATGAAAACTCTTGATAGGTTCTAGGCCTGGCCCCAACATTGACTTGCTGGGTGACCATGGGGCGAGGGGGAGCGGGGAAGGTCCTGCTTCTTTTATTTATTTATTTATTTATTTATTTTTGAAGATGGGATTTCACCATGTTGGTCAGGCTGGTCTTGAACTCCCAACCTTAGGTGATCCGCCCGCCTTGGCCTCCAAAGTGCTTGGATTACAGGCGTGAGCCACCATGCCCAGCTAGGTCCTGCTTCTTACAGGCCTCAGCTACCTCATCTGTACATGAAGGAGTCAGGGCTGGCCAGCTCCTGCGGTCTTTCCAGCTCAAGGATGCCACTAGTCTGTGATTCCTCAGCCCTAGCACTGTTCTTTTAGGTCCTAAGCAACTCAGAAAACCCTCCTGATCCTTCTCAAGAGGTCACACAAGAGGGGACAGTAGGAAAAGATGGGGACAAAAGATGATGCTGAAGCTTAAAGGCAGATCCTTCAGCAAGACACTTTAAAAATCATATGGTTGGCTGTGCATGGCGGCTCATGCCTGTAATCACAGCACTTTGGGATGCTGAGGTGGGTGGATTACCTGAGGTTAGGAATTCAAGACCAGCCTGACTAACATGGTGAAACTCTGTCTCTACTAAAAATACAAAAATTAGCTCAGTGTGGTGGCATGTGGCTGTAATCCCAGCTACTTGGGAGGGTGAGGCAGGAGAGTCGCTTGAATCTGGGAGGCAGAGGTTGCAGTGAGCCGAGATCGTGCCATCGCACTCCAGCCTGGGCAACAAGAGTGAAACTCTGTCTCAAAAGAAAAAAAAAATTAGCCAGGCTTGGTGGTGGGTACCTATAATCCCAGCTACTCAGGAGGCTGAGGCAAGAGAATTGTTTGAACTTGGCATGGGGCGGGAACGCAGGTTGCAGTGAGCCGAGGTCGCGCCACTTCATTCTAGCCTGGGCAACAGGTGGAAACTCCATCTCAAAAAAAAAAAAAAAGCATCAACAGCAAAAGTTGATACAGATATACAACATATAATTCCCATACTACAGCTGGGAAACCCAGGCCTGAGGAAGAAGAGCCCACAGTCACGTAGCAAGTTAGCAGACAGGTTTTTTCCACTGCCTCAGGTTCTTTCACATTAAGATCCCAGTTCACAGGGCTAGGGGCCAACCACTGACTCACCGTGGGACTCTGGACAAGTCACTTCCCCTCCTGGGCACTGGCCTCAATATCCCCATTCCAAAGATGGAAAGTACAGCTCAGAGGACTGCGAATGAGATCACATCCATGTGGAAGCCATTTGAAAACTTAATGTCATTATTATTTACAGTTTAAAAAAAACTCTTTTAGAAGATTGTGTGATAGTTCATGTCGGGGAGAAAGAAAAGGAAAAAATCTTAGAAGGCTGACTGAGCTTGGGCACTGCCAAAACTCTGATCACAACTCAGTTATTACCTCATTCAGCCCCAGGGCCAGATCCCAGCCCTCTCCAGGCCTCAGTTTCACCAGCTGTGACATGGCAAGGCTAGATGAGAATGGCTGTTCAAAAGAGGTGCTTTAAGAATATCTGCAGGGCCAGGCACGGTGGCTCACGCCTATAATCCCAGCATTTTGGGAGGCAAAGGCGGGTGGATCACTTGAGGTCAGAAGCTCAAGACCAGCCTGGCCAACATGGTGAAACCCCGTCTCTATGAAAAATACAAAAATTAGTCGAAAATCACCTGAACCCATGAGGCAGAGGTTACAACGAGCCGAGATCATGCCACTGGACTCCAGCCTGGGCAACAGAGCGAGACTCTGTCTCAAAAAAAAAAAAAAAAAATCTGCATGTGAGTAATTCAAAATTGATTAAAAACATTTTTTAAAAAATCTCTATTTTCTTGGAGACAGGTCTTGCTAACTGCAGCCTCAAACTCCCGGGCTGAAGTGATCCTCCCACCTCAGCCCAACAAAGTAACTGGGAGGACAGGCATGTGCCACCATGCCTGGCTAATTTTTTTTTTGCTATTTTTTGTAGAGATGGGGTTTAACCATGTTTCCCAGCTGGTCTCAAGAACTCCTGAGCTCAGGCAATTTGCGCGCCTCAGCCTTCCAAAAAATGCTGGGATCACAGGCGTGAGCCACTGTGCCCAGCCCCATTTAAAAAATCTTAACAGAGGCCGGACACAGTGGTTCATGCCTATAATCCCAGCACTTTGGGAGGCCAAGGTGGGCAGATCACCTCAGGTCAGGAGTTTGAGACCAGCCTGACCAACATGGAGAAACCCTGTCTCTACTAAAAATACAAAATTAGCTGGGCGTGGTGACACATGCCTGTAATCCCTACTTGGGAGGCTGAGGCAGGAGAATCACTTGAACCCAGGAGGCGGAGGCTGCGGTGAGCTGAGGTTGCAGTGAGCTGAGATCGCACCATTGCACTCCAGGCTGGGCAAGAAGAGCAAAACTCTGTCTCCCCTCCCCCCAAAAAAAACCCCTGTTTGTTTTGTTTTGTTCTGTATTTTTAGTAGAGACAGGGTTTCACTATGTTGGTCAGGCTGGTCTTGAGCTCCTGGCCTAGTGATCAACCAACCTCAGCCTCCCAAAGTGCTGGGATTACAGGTGTGAGCCACCACGCCCAGCCCCCCAAAAAAAATCTTAATAGAAAACGACACTCAGATGTGTCATGCAGTACACACTGGAGATGACCAACATTTTAACTAGTACTGCCATGGCTCCAGAGCTAGTCCTGGCAGTACTAGTTAATTTGGCTAAATTCCAGCTCTGCCATTTACTGGCCATGTGATCCCAGATAAGTTACTTAACCTTTCTGAACTTCAGCTGTCTCCTGTTTAACATGGAGCTAGTCAAAAAAGCTATCTGAAATGGCTGTGGTGAGGATTAAACGATGTGATCCATATAAGCCACTCATAAACTAAAAAGAGTGGCTGGGTGCCATGGCTCAGGTATGTAATCCCAGCACTTTGGGAGGCCCAGGTGGGTCACCTGAGGTCAGAAGTTCGAGACCAGCCTGACCAACAAAGTGAAACCCCATCTCTACCAAAAATACAAAAATTAGCTGGGCGTGGTGGCAGATGCCTGTAGTCCCAGCTACTCGAGAGGCTGAGACAGGAGAATTGCTTGAACCCAGAAGGTGGAGGTTGCAGTGAGCCGAGATCATGCCACTGCACTATAGCCTGGGTGGTGGAGCAAAACTGTCTCCAAAAAAAAAAAAAAAAAAACAAAAGAAAAAAAGAGAAACTAACAAGAGTACTTGGCACATGCTAAGTACTCAATACATTTTAGTTTTACTGTTATGATCAGCTTAACCTTAAGCATCTCCTGCTACGTCTGCATGTATCGGAACATGGCACAAGTGGATCTGTCTCCTCTATCCCACCCCCAACTGAGGGCCACTCACTCACCTCCAAGTTTATTGAGGACCCGAGAGACGGCTACAGCGCAGCCTCCACAGGTCATGTCAACGGAGAACTCGTGCTTCTGAAACAAACAAAGAGGGACTGTGACCTCAGCCCTGCAGAGTGACCCACACACGATGCCAGCAAGCAGGCCCACTCAGGCCAAGACAGAAGGCAGAGAGACTGGGCAGAACGTGGTTGGCATCAGATTCATCAGGAGACTATTTCTGAGCCCCAGTCTTTTCAACTATAGAGTAGCTAAGAGTTTCTACCTCACAGGTTGTATTCAATGGAATCATCCCTATAAATCCTTTAGTAGTGTCTGGCACATAATGAATAGAATCACCTGGAGATCTAGCTTAAAATGCTTTTTTCCCTGGTCCTATCTTCAAAACACTTGATTCTTGAGCTATGAGCTTTGTCTCAGGGTCACCAATAACTCTGACAGAGATGAGCCCTCATACTCTGAATAATGCTGACATGGTGGGCCCACTTATGAACCGGAAAATTATTTTCTGCATTAGAGTCACCTGCAGTTTGCAAAAAATACATGTTCTCATCAGCAGGTCTGGGCTGGAGCATCTGTTATGTCTAGTTATTATCCCAGGTGATTCTGCTTTCATCCAAGGGCCTCATTCTCAGAGGCAGCATCTGCGTCCAGGGAAGAGAAAGGATTGCCTGGGTTCCCCAGTGGGTTGGAGGCCAGGCAGGAAGGGATCCCAGGCTCCTAGTCTTCACATAAGATCTACAGTCTTCAGAATATCTAACAGATCAAGGGTTTGAAGGTAAGCTCCCAGAAGACAGGGGTTTTGTTCAGCTCACTGCTGGGTCCCTAATACTTGGAAAAGTGCCTGGATAGAGTAGGTGCTTAATACATTTTTTGAGTCAATGGATAACTGACATGGCTGGTTTGAAATTCTGGGTCTTTTGCTTTGCTTTCACACAAGGATTACTTATCCCAATACTTTATTTTTAAATCTCTGAAAATGAGACCATCTGAAATCAGATAAATCTGGCTTCAGTTACTAGCTCTTGCACTTACCAGTTGCAAGATCATCAATAAGTTACTTCTCTGTGCCTTGGTTTCCACATCTGAAAATTGGGGATAAGAGTTCCGCTCTAGATTTGTGAATGGGATGAACATGGGATTTTAAGTGTGGTAGCCAGCATCCAACATAGTTTCAATGATCTCTGCTTCTGGTATTTATGCCCCTGAGCAATTCCATTCCAAAACTGTCTCGGGTTGGTCTGTGAGTTTTATAGAATATGGCTTAAAGTGAGGTTATGTGGCTTCTGAAGCTGTAACAATATCATAAAACACACTGTGGCTTCTGTCTTCTTATCTTTCTGGGATCACTTACACTAGAGGAAGTCAGCTACCAAATCATAAAGATATTCAAGCAACCATAAGGAGAGGTCCACAAAGTGAAAGACCAAACGCTCAAACTAACAAGCATGTGAGTGAGCCATCTTGGAAGTAGATTCTCCAGCCCCAGTCAATCCTTTAGTTTAATGCAGCTCCAGCCAACATCTAACTGCAACTTCATGAGAGCCCCTGAGCCAGAGCCACTAGGCCAAACTCTTCCCAAATTCCTGATTCTCAGAAACTGTGTAAGTTACTATAAATATATTTGTTGTTTTATACTACAAAGTTTTGGGATAATTACTAAGGAACAATAGACAACTAATACATTAAAAATATTAGAGCCTAGTACTAGGTTCCAATGGGTAAAAAGTTAGCTATTGGATTATTATGGTGATTAATTTCTTCCATTTATCTCTCCTTTTTCCCTTCAAAAAAGAATGGCTACATTTTTCATGGAGCGCTTCAAAATATTTCAAGTCTATTACCTCATTGGAATTCTGGGTATAGTGATATATCTTGCTAGACAACTTCAGGCAAAATCTCTGTTCCAGAAGGGCTCCAGTTCCCTAATTTATACTAAAAGGGTTTTAGCTAAGTAAATTTTTTTCAACTTCAGTGTGCATAGGAAGAAATCTGGGGACCTTGTAGAAAGTACAGCTCCCAGGCACCTGCCTCAGCTGGCTCTGTGGATGTAGTGTGGGCTCTGCCACTCGCCATTTTTAACTTACTGGGGAGAGATAGGGAGGCAAAACTACAAGCCTGAGAATAAAGTGGCTAAGTGGCTTCTCAAACTCTTTCCAAGTCTCTAAACACCTCTGAGTCTGGATTGTCATTGTGCTCCACAGAGGAAACCAAGACCAAGAGTAAAGCAGCTCGATTTTCCACTGCTGGACTGTCTGACCTTTGTGACTAGTAAACCACTAATTTTATTAAGGCCAAATCTGCAAAATCTGTCTTCAGGAAAATGGTCAGTCTTTTCTTCTAGTTAAACGTCTCTAATTTTTTTCATATTGTTTCATGACTGTTCAAAGACAACAACAATAACAAATTCTGGAAAAAAGGGTTTGTAGTAGGTATTACAAAATCTTGTCTTTAAAATGTGGTCCTCAGCCCAACAATATGAGCATCACCTGAGAGCCTCTCAGAAATGCAGAATCTCAGGTCCCTCCCCTGAAATCTGGAATCAGAATCTTTAACAAAACACCAAAGTCATCCCTGCCCCAGTCTGAGAAGGATGCTCTCCTCTATTAAAAAAATTTTTTAGGCTGGGCACTGTGGCTCACGCCTGTAATCCCAACACTTTGGAAGGCTGAGGCAGGCGGATCGCCTGAGGTCAGGAGTGCAAGACCAGCCTGGCCAACATGGTGAAACCCCCATCTCTACTAAAAATACAAAAATTACCTGGGCATGGTGGCGTGCATCTGTAATCCTAGCTACTCGGGAAGCTAAGGCAGGACAATCACTTGAACCCGGGAGGCAGAGGTTGCAGTGAGCCGAGATCCTGCCACTGCACTCCAGCCTGAGAGACAGAGTGAGACTCCCCCTCATAAAAAAAAAAAAAAAAAAAAAAAAGCCATAGCCAAACTCATTTGTTTACTTTTGCACTAGAATGGCAATGAGTAGTTGTAACAGAGACCCTATGGTTTGTGCAAACTAAACTAAAATGTTTACTATATGGGCCTTGTAAAAAAGTTTGCTGAGTCTTGCTCTACGATAACAAGCAGAAAATCAAGATTCATCAGTGGTTTGCACTTATATACTAAGCCAAAGCTTTGAAGGGTTTGCAAGATCAACATAAGAGCTAAATCTATTGATTGTCTATTATATGTCAAATTCTCTTTATATAGTATCTAAGTTAGTCCTCACTGATCCTGGAAAGAGAGCTATTTACCTTACTTCACTCAGGAGGAAAGTGAAGTCCCCAAGAGTTCACTAGGTGGCCTACAGTCATGTGGCAAATAACTACTGAGTATGGAATATGAAGCTAGGCTTTCTTCGCTCCAGGGAAATCTTGCTGGTTCCGGAATAGCAAAGTGCACCGCCAGCCCTCATAACCCTGACTCTCAGCAGAGGCTCTGAAACTAGAAACACATTTTTAGGGAGCACGGTTTTTTGCTGCCCAAGGACCTAACAGCAACAGATAGTTGAAGTTTTCTGCTGCTGATTACAGGGAGTAGGTCTCATCCCCCACAGTACAAAGGTCAGAAGCAAGAAACCAGCTTTGGGGTATAAACATTACAGTTCAGTGCTCTCCTCCTCCACCTCTGAGGGGCAAAAATAAATTTGAGAGTGATGGAAAATCTATTTCATGGACAGAGTAATCATTTCTTTACAGGAGAATCTCAAGATTGGCTCTACCACCGGATGCGTAACTGGGTAGTCCTGGTTCCTCAGGGCCTCTGGGGTCTTTTATAGACTTATAAAATGGATAGATTTTAAAAGCCAGTAGGTTTTAAAAGTAGTAGGTGGAACAATTCTTTTTTGTTTGTTTGCTTTTTGAGACAGAATCTTGCATTGTCACCCGGGCTGGAGTGTAGTCGCACAATCTCGGCTCATTGCAACCTCTGCCTCCTGGGTTCAGGCAATTCTCCTGCCTCAGCCTCCTGAGTAGCTGGGATTACAGGCA